GCTCGAAGATCGAGGAGGAAGTAACGGCTGTGGCAGCAGCAACAGCGATGCGCTGCCCGTACAGCAGCAAGCCCTTGTAGTACGCGGTGCCGCTTCGCTGGTGCTGCAGCAGTGGGTGCTGCTGGCTGCGGATGCTCTGCAATTGCTGCGGCGTCTGCTGCAGCCCGAGAAGCAGCACCATCGGCGCAACAGCAGTAGCAACAACGCCGATAATCACCAGCTTTTGGGGCGGCAGCAACAGCAAGACTCTAGAAGGAAGAGAGTGCGGACAACAGAGGCCCAGAGAGAAGATGACGGGGAAGAGCAGCAGGAAGATGCAGACGAGGCAGCAGATGCAATTTGGGAGCGAGCAGCGGTAGGCCCCATATGTACAAATCAACGCGTCTGTGCATTTAACAAACACTAAATCCCCTGCAAGTGTTTAACGACTCGGATGGCACTGATGCCATGTTTGGGTCTTTGTGTATACTGTGCTGCTGCTGCTGGTGCAGCAACTGCAGCTGCAACAGCAACAAGGGGAGGAAGAATCTCAGCAGCGTCTTAAACGATTAGGAAGCGTCTTTGCCACACATCTGCAGGAGGCAGAGTCCAGTGTGCGAGCCAACAGAGACAGCGCCGGTTTGCTGCTGCAGCGGGGGGCCCCCGACCTGTTCAGCGCTTGCTGGGCTGCTGTAGCCACGCCTCTGCGCTCCGGAAGTACTCGACCGGGGCAGCAGCAGCAGCAGCAAATCGGATCACACGAAAGGCTTCTCGCTGCAGCAGGAGAAGCGCATGCTCCCGGAATGTCGTGGAGACGCTGGGCGTTCGGAGGCCCTGAGCCTCATCTCCCTTTCCCCTCAGCAGCAGCAGCTTCCAGTGCAGCAGCAGCTGCAGCAGCAGGAAAAAGTGCCTCCGCAGCAGCAGGTGAAATAGGAGGAGGAAGAGAAGAAGACCCCGGGGTAGAGTCTGCCGACTTTGCAGACATGTGGGGGCCCCTGCCAGAGGAAGAGCAGCAGGAAGAGTACGAAGCACCGCAGCAGCAGCATCAGCAACAGCAGCAGGAAGAAGGTATGGCGGAAGCTCAGGACATCTCTGCAGGACCAAAAGCCACTCGAAGAAGAGGCGTGAGCTGCTGCTGCTGCCGCTGCTGCTGTTGCTGCTGCTGCTACTTGCGTGCGCCAGAGGTCGCTCCTTGGCTAAAGCCTTTCCTTTCTAATTCTGTGTGCCTCACACGATTTTTGCAGCAGGGCCATGGAGTGCAGCTGGATACCAACATATCGCGGAACACAGCAAGCAGAACCAGCGGCGACAGGGCTTTTCCAACCCTGCTCAGCAACAGCAGCACCATGGCAG